GTGTGTGTGTGTGTGTGTGTGTGTGTGTGTGTGTGTGTGTGTGTGTGATGCATCCTCCATACTGTCTTCTGAGGTCCTTGTTTGCCTTGTCTGTTCCAGGAAGACTTATTCTGCTCTATGACCTCACCATGACACACACACACTCTACTGCTCTGTGATATTTAATTTCCTCCTACTTTTGCTGAGTTTTCTTTCTCAGCTACTTTAATTTAGGGGCTTTGGCACCTGTCATGCTAACGCCTCCAGAAAGTGTGTGTGTGTGTGTGTGTGTGTCTATAACACAGTCTGAATCCTGTAATTAGCTTGTGTTGTCACTGAGTTCAGGTTCTTCTTATACCCCCCCCCACACACAACACACAAACACTAAACTCCTCTCAGGAATCCATAGCCGGCTCAAACGAACCTTTGGAGGTTAGGCTGATGTGTGTGTGTGTGTGTGTGTGTGTGTGTGTGTGTGTGCGCGTGTGTGTGTTTGGGAGTTAGTGTCGTGCACATGCATGCACATGTGTGAGCATACAGTACATATTTGTGAGGACTCTGTTCACCCAGAGTGTCCAGAGGGTGTCTATAAAGAGGGAGACTGCAGCTGAGACCCCCCCCTTTTTTTAATAACTAACTAATGTTTTTCATAAGGCTGGTCTTCTACATTTCTTAGTGTCTGTAAACTGTATTTTTCTGTCTTTTATCCATTTCACAGCTTTTTCATAGTCAGTAAGATATAATATTCATACTCATCTGTTTAACAATCATATAAACTGTAAATCTATTTTCATTTAAACTTTTCTGCTGGCTGCAGTTACTTGACTGCACCACTAACGGCCACTACTTGTTTTCTAAAGAAAGAGAAGTTGACATAAAGCAGCAGCAGCAGACCCTGAATGACGCTGTGTTGTTCTCTGTGTCAGTGGTGTATCAGGGCATGAACATGACCGTCTGTTACCCCAGCGTGGGACAAGATGGCATCCAGAATGAGGGCAACGCTGTGGCCATAATTGGAGCTTTCATCATGTACTGCTGCGTCCTCTTCGCATGGTGAGTGGACTCTTTATCTTTCAAAATAAATAAATTATCTTACCTGATACAACATAATAAAATAATAAGAAAAACGTCACTGTTGTATTATGTGCCTGTTCAAATCTAATTCCCCTCCCGCAGTAATGAAGCTTCCTACCTGGCGGAAGTGTTCGGCCCGTTCTGGATGATTAAAGTTTACCGCTACGAGTTCCAGAAAGCCACCTGCTGCTTCTGCTGGCCCGAGGAAGAGGAAGGTCTGTGCTGACGCAGTTGACATTACGGGATTGTCTTTTTCGCCTCGTGTTCTCACAGCAATAAATAAAGAGGCCGGGAGAGCTCCACACGCTGCAAATAGACACAACACAAGCAAATTAAGAAGCTTTTTCACCAACACACATTTTACATCACATGCACAGCATTTAGACAAAGCACTGTAAGAAGCTCACAACAGAAGGGAAACTGTTTCCAGGGGGAACTTAAAAAGTGTTGCACACGGCTGGTTAGCAATTAGGTAAGCTGGTCATCCTTAAATGAACTAATCTCTAATTGGAGGACACTAATGCTAGTTCAATAACTTTGACTATTGCTCTATGAATTTGTTTAAATTGACAAGCTAATAAAAAGCTAAAGGCTAATGCTAGGCTATCTGCAATACTATGTGAACCAGGGCACCACCATGTTAAAATAAGCCATAAAAACTTAACATTTTAGGTGACCTAACAAAACCACTGACACAGCCAAGTTCAATTAACTATATTAGCCAAAAGCCATGGCAACAACAAGAGGCCCCAGCCGTGTGCGTCACTCTTTAGTGTCCCCTGGAAACAGTTTCCGTTGTGTGAGTTCTTGCAGCGCTTTTTTCTAAATGTTGCACATGTGTCGTCACGTTTGATGTTGTGAAGTCGATGGTTTGTTGTGTAGCCACGTTGGTGAAGATGTTTCTTCATTTGCTTGCTGAGCTCTCAGGGCCACCGTAAGAACAGGAGGTCCGGGATCAGCAATGTTCTGCATTCAGTTGGTATTTGTTTGCACAAAAATTTTACACTTTCCAGGCAATTCAAACTGTTTTTATTTACATTATTGTAATGTACAAGTTTCAACTTTACGTGAACTTACTTGGTTTGCAGATTGTTTCTGGAAAATACTGACTTTTATTAAAGAGATTTATTTGAGCCACCGTCCACTGGTCATTAGAGGGTTTCAAGAGCATGGGAATAGCTTTCTTTGAGTGTGTACTGTGTGTATTCAAAAACTTTCCACCACAAAACGGTATCATTAAACAGAATATAAAATCATGGATGGACAGCACATTTATAGTTGTTTTTCTTTTTTAGCTGAGGAGGAGTTTGTGATGGACGAAGAGAACAAAGGCTGTCAGAAGGTCTTTCACAACGAGACGCAGAGAGTGGCTTACAGCTACTTCTTCTTCCATTTCGTCTTCTTCTTGGCCTCGCTGTATGTCATGATGACCCTCACTAACTGGTTCAGGTTAGTTTACGACACCGACTTGTTTGTGTCCCATTTGAAACCAAAAGCCAACACACACTTATTTTGATTTGCATCCAACAAACATACTTATTTTAAGTCAAACCACAACGTTCTTTTCTAAACCTAACCAAGTAGTTTTGTTACCTAAGCATACGTTGGGTTTTTGTTTTGTTTCAATTTGCAACGTTAATTATTATTATTTTTGCACTTCTAGTAATTTATGGCAAAATCTACCAAATCATAAATTTTTCAATTAATTGTTTTATCACCTTGAGATATTGTTGGAAGGCTGTTGCTCTGTCAAGGGAAGGTGGTAATGAGATTCTAAAAGTCTTCAGCTCCATCCTCCTCATCCCAACAATTCTCCACTAGTTCCAGAGCACTTTATCTTTTTATTTAACCTTTAGTTTGACAGGATATTCCCATTCAGATTTTAAATAATTTTTCTGAGGTAGTCCTGGCCAAGACGGAAAAATACAAGTTTCACACAAAAAAGCACAAATAATAGACTGAAAAACAAAACAGTTAAGAGTTTAGAGTTGTTGTTGTTTGGTCTATAAAATGTCAGGAAATTGTGAAAAATGTCCACCACTCCAGACATTCAGTTTATGTCACAGAGGAGTAAAGAAACCAGAAATTATTCACTTTTAAGAAGCAGGAATTAGAGAATTTTAACTTTTTTTTTTCTTAAAAAATGACTCAGACCGATTAATTGATTATAGCAATAGTTTGTGATTATTGTAATAGATGACAACGAATTGATTAATCGATGCAACTCTTAAAAAGTTAAAGACAACATAAGAAATGTCACATGAAAGAGACGAGGAACAAACAAAATGGTCGTTTGTTTCCCCTGCTGCTAAACATTGTTGCCCTCCTCCAGCTACGAGTCAGCAGTGTTGGAGACCACCTTCACCCACGGCAGCTGGTCTACCTTCTGGGTGAAGATGTCGTCCTGCTGGGCCTGCGTCATCCTCTACCTCTGGCTGCTGCTGGGCCCTCTGTGCAGCTGCCAGTCAGAATCCAGACCTCGCCGCTCGCGCATCAAACGGCGTGCGGGATCCTCTCGCCACGTCTCCGTGACCGTCTGACGAGCTCTGTGAAAGGGGGGCGGACAGGACGCGATGTGGACGACAGGTCCCACGTGAATCGAGGTCACATGGGTCAAAGACTCGCGCTGCTGTGAGAAGGACCAATCAGAAGGCTCGATGCCCTGCTGATTTAAGAACTGGTTAAAGCCGTGACGTCACCGGCTTCACACCATGACTTTAAAACCACTGTGAGGACTCGACTGTGGTTTGGAAACACACTTAACAGTATGAATTGCCAAAGGGATCAGAAGGGGTGAACTCTCGCTCTGTGTAATGTTGGGCATTACAGTCAGTAGGTATGAAGATGGATACATTCATGAACTTTCATTGTAGTGGTGTATTTAATTGTTTTGCTATTTTTTAGACTGTTGATATTATAACAGGGAGTATTCTAGATATTTGCTTTAATATTGCATCAGAGGCTCACATCCCAGTTAATGTTTTCTTTCATAAAAGAAGAAAGAAAACAGAAAGCCCTGTTAGTCCTCCGATCTAAGACGGGCAGTCGATGGTTTCGATCATGAACAAATCTTTCTCAGAGTTGGAAACAGAACTGTGGGCTCATTGCATCGACTGTGTTGAGTTCATACATAATGTGGAGGCAAGAGATGCTCCAACGCCTCCACACATTTACCTCCGAGAGTTTTACAATCTGCACAACAAACGACATCCTCTGTCCTTGGATCCTAGCATTGGAACAAAAAAAAACCTTTTTAAACACGTGGTTGTTTAAAAAGGGTTTTAAATTGAAACAAAACAAAAACATACCAAAACTACTTTGTCAGGTTCACTAAAAACATAATGTTTTGGCTCAAAATAGGTACGTTTGTTACGTTATTTGAGTTACGGATGTGAATTAGAATAAGAGCACGTTGACTTTTGTGACACAAACAATGGTCTCCTGGGTGAAAGTCCTGTGTTTGTTTGAGCCTCCCATCCACCACAGACGTCCTCCCCAACACGGACCTCCTCAGACTACGATTAGAAACGTATTTGTGAACATATCGATGATGCAGTTTCGTTGTACGGGGACGTCATTTTTAGGAGACCAGGCTGCGACATCATACAGACATTTCATGACGATGAAATACATTTCAATTATCATCTCTAAGCAAATTACGTTTCCAAGAGTTACACTAGAAGCCTTCAAAAATGTGTTCAACATTTTGGGAAATGCGTAAAACCACAACCTGTTGATTTGTGTTTGCACACAGATTACACAGACGAGATATAACGTGCTAGTTTTTTTTACTTTTGAGGTGCAGCTCGATGTGTTTTTGAGCTTTGGACCTCATGTTTCCAGCTTTTATGCTAAGCTAAAGCTAATCAACTTCCAGCTAAAGCCCCATAAGAGATTGGCGTAGATCTTCTCAACTAACTCTCAACAAATAAACAAACAGGCGTATACCCCAATATGTCAAATGAATGTTTGATCATTTATTAAGGACTAATAAGCTCAGATGTAACTGCTGCAGTTTGAAATAATCTGCTGGAATGACAATGACTGGAACAGTCACACTGTAGTTTCATAATAATAATAATAGCATGAACTTTATTTCATTTAGTGCTAACAGTTACAATCCAGAGAATGTACAGACAGAAACAATTTAATTGCAACATCTCAGTCAATTAGGAACTTTGTCTTGTAATTTAACTGAGAAAATCTCCGAAATAAAAGGTGAATGAATGCCTCTTTCCAGCCACTTCCGTTGTGCGATTATTAGGAGTTCATCGAGATAAGCAGTGGAACACGTTATACCAGTACATAAGAGGAGGGCTCAGCGAGATGACGTAATTAAAACAGCACATTCAAACCTCAAACTTTGAAAAACGATGGAGAAAACGTGATGTATATATGATGTGTATATATATGTGGAGCAATGACCAGACTGTTTTTCGTCTCTTCAGCTTCATGTGCGCCATAATTTATTCGCTAAATCTGTTTCGGTTGCACTTTGTCAATTTTCTGCATTTCTTTTCTGATGCGCAAATTGAAAACGGTGCATGAAGACAGGTCGATGGAAACGCACCAACTGAGGCAAATTCAGAGTTGGTTCTCATTTCCAGCCTGAAGCCAAAGAAAGATTTGTTCATGTGTAGAAATATAAACCTAAAGTGTCCCGCGGGGTCACGAGGACAACAGATGTTTTCACGAGATGGACCTTTAAATGCTCAGAGACGGACAGACATTTTTGATGTTCTTTAAAGTTCTACACAAGACGTTTGTCGTATTTGGGCAAAAGATAATTTGCTTTTGAGGAACACGATGAATGCTCGCATTTTGTTGCTATATAGCTCCTCATTCACTTGATTCTTGTTTACATTTTTATTTTGTATGTGTTACTCTATTTTGAAAACTTAGAAAATTGAAACCAAGAGTGCTCAAAAAAAACAAAAAAACAACTAAAACTTCCAGAAGGGACAGAAGCTTTCTGTCTCATGCCTTCAGATGAAGTAGTCCCGTCTGCTGAGGCAACGTGATCTCACAGAAATATGGGAAATGACCACGACCTCCTAGAAGCAAAATACTTGGTGGTGGCATGTTATGTCCAAAATTAGGAGAGAAGTAGAGTCATTTTCTCATAGACTTCTATACAACCAGAGGAGTCGCCCCCTGGTGGACACTAGAGAGAATGCAGCTTTAACACATGAAGCTTTGGCTTCACTCTGCAGATCCGGAGGTTGCCTCCTTTAAGTCACTAGTTCTGAAGGTTCACGTGGATGCGTTTGATTTGTGTGTCCACCATAACAAAGGATCCTTAGTCAGTGAGTACGATAACTCACCTATTGAGATATGAAGTTACGTTTGTGACTGATTACGTATATTACTGAATTTGCGAACGTATTTGAAGCTGAACGAAGATATTTTTCCTTAAACTAACGAAGTGGTTTTGTTGTCCAAACGTGAAATAGTTTAAGTGATGCAGACACGTAATTTGAACACATTACGTTAAGAGGTCATAGTCATTCCACGGATTCCTGTGGGACCAGGTTGGCTGAGATGAACCGTGTTGTGAATCTAAAGATAGTCCCTTTCCTCCCACACGTTGATGTTGTGGAAACCTGAGACCGGTTTCTCCACTGAAGGGACTCTGAGCCGAGTGTCTGCGATGACTTCCTTATAATGATATTATATTATACGAGCAGCGATCTGGCTCAGTCATGAAATGAATACTTAGTTATATTATCTGTAGTTTAAATGTAGTGCTTCCTTTGTTGTAGATGTGAAGCTTTTTCTGTAAATACATTGTTTTCTTAAAAACGCTGCTGTTCTCCTGTCGGCTATGTTGGTTTTTGTGAAAGTTTATTATAAGTTTAAATACAAGAGTGGAACATTATTTTCATTCACTTTATGGACAAAATGTACAAAGACATTATTTTGGCACACGTAGATGAGGTTTGTTATATCAAATGCAAAACACAAGGCACAGAAATTAACGGACTATTCAACAGACTGCAAGTTTTCTCAAAACAATTATAGTCAAATTATACTTTAGTATACTTGTAGTTAATCAGTGCCACACAATAAAATACTGTATATTTCATAATCTCTTTCACGTAAAGTATCACAAAGCAGACCTGATTTAACACACTATAAAAAATTAATACCACAAAACAGACACTATGAAAGACGTTGAACAAGTGACTCACAAGTTAATGAGTTGTGGTTTAAGCTTATTATTTTTCATACATATAAAGCAATATGTTTTTATCTCGAGTTACACCTGAAAGAAAAACCCACCTCTAAATCCTGATGTTGAAACATGCAAATTGAACATTTAGCTGCAGTCACATGTCCCGTTTAGACGATGATAGGTGACATCACAGTTAGACTTGGTTAGAATTTAATTTAAAATGATTAGAAAAGAAGTAAGAATCTATTTTTACTTCATGCGACTGGATGAGCAGCGGGTTCAGGAGGTATATTTTCCCTGCTGATATTCCAAGTGTTTCCAATAGCAGTGTTTCCATTTTATTGTCAAACGGATATTAAGAGAAAGAAGCAAATCAGGCGTGTTTGCATCGTGACTCTGTTTACTGGCGGATTACATCCATGAGTAGCCTCCAGCGCCAACTTCTCACCAAACTACGCTGTAGCCGAGTTTATTCGCTCCAAACTAGTTGATGGAAATGTGCCTCATTTGCATTTCTTTATTGCGACATTTCAAAAGTAAAATAAGCTCGACACTAGAATGGAGACACGTCGAATGTTGCTCAACATAGAAACACTGGAGTCTCAGACATAATTTAAAGATACTTTAGGTTTAAGTTATGACCATCAGCTTCATCATGGCGGCTCTAGAAAGACGACCATGTGCTTTAGTATCTGGGTGAGTCTATGTTTCCCCAGAAATAAGCAGGAGACAAAGTCAAAATGATGTTTTATAGGAATGAAGTCGTTCTTAGTCTGCGTGTTTTTGGGTGGACTTTTCCTTTAAGTCTAAACACAAAAATACAATAATATAAAAACAAAAATGAAATGATAGCTGTGGAAAAACACAAAAAGGCCATTTCAGTCAATGTTCTTCTCTTTGGTACGTGTTTAAAGGTGGGCACAAGCATCCACCTAAAGTGCTCTATATGGTACAGTAAGCTGGCTTTTAAATAAACGTGGAGTCCTTTTGGTTTCTTAATGTGGCGAGTTTCAAATGAGGCTGAAACGGTAATTTTCTCCAGTGATGCCACTCGGATTCATCAGACCATCGACTACGGATCACATCTGGAGTGACGTTTGAAGGTCCAGAAATGAAACGCTGGAAGTGAATAAAGCTTCACGCACACACACACACACGCTCACACACACTCACTCACTCATCCCGTCCGTTCTGCAGGCTGTTTGGGTCCTCTGTTGCTGCAGAGTCTTTCGAGGGACAGCAGCAGTTCGTCCTCTCTGGGTCTGTACGGCACCACGTAGCTCTCCTCATCCAGCAGGATGCGGTTCAGCGTGCGCTCATAGTTAATGTGGCGACGGACCATCAGTATATACTGCTTCCCCTCCTCCAGGCGGGGGCAGTCGCACACATTTGGGACCCACAGGAACTCTCGGTGCTCCAGGCGGAAGCCGTTTCGGTAGGTGTGGATGATCTGGACGTCGTAGCGCGTCTCCTCGCCTCTGTACAGCTTCCCGAGGACTCGGCCCCGGAAAACTGACAGGAAACAGAAAAGAGTTCAATCAAATGTTCAAGAGATACGATAAAGTTAGCATCCTGTCGCTTTTAGGCTCAGACTCACCAAAGTCCTTCTGGCAATACTGTCTCTGGCGTTCCCTTCGACCTTTAACCCGCCGACATTTCCCACAATGCCCTGCAGAGTAAACCGAGCAGAAACAAGCTCACAAATAAACAACTTAAAAATTACTTTTTGAGAAATACGCATGTTTGCTTTCTTAATGGGAGTTGTATGACGCGGATGGCTTATCGGCTCGTGGGTGGCTGGTCTTAGCTTGTTGGGGGATGGGGCGGGTGGAGTTGGGGAAACGGTGAACATACTTCCAGGTGGAGGCTGAGGCAGGAGGTTTCTGTGGTTCTCCTCCCGCTCCAGACGGGGCAGGATGGGCTGGTGAGGGGGCTGGCGGCGGTTGTGGTGTGGAGATTGGTGGGGCGGCTTCACAGGCCTTAAAACTAGTGAGACACAAATCGCACACACACACACACACACACACACACACACAGTGTTGTCAACAATGTTGTAAACAGGTGCTTCTCTTTAGAGTAAGAGAATTTTGTGATTTAATTTGTTTAATTTCTATAAAATTATTTTGTTATGTTTGAACATTTTTGACTTTAGCCACTTGGATATTAAAAGACACTGTTTTGAGACAAATTGATGTATTTCAGTGTCACTAGCAGCAATGCAACATGCACACTGGTCTTAAAGACTTTCTCACCAACATCCACAATTTAGATTTTTTAATCGAGTTTACAATCAACCACATTTTGTGTAACAGTGACTAACTCTAAACCCTCAAAACTAGTTAAAATAATATCTTTGCCACTTTGTAAAAGTCATGTAATAAGCCCCGCCCCTCGTATACATTTGGATAATATTTCTAGTGCAGTTAGTGACAGTGTGGGCTCCGCTGTGACGTAGCTCGGAGGGCTGGACGCAGCGGCAGAGGGGGCAAATTAATGATGCGTGTTTGCATACTGCGCTGGATCAAAACTGACCCCAGAATCAAGTAGAAAACATATTTGCTGTTGCGTATCATCTTAAAATATATCAGTTATTTTGGCCCTGTTTGATCTATTGTTCTGTGTTGCACAATAGATAAGAAAAAACTGGAAATCATTTTTCAAATATTTTGGTGAGAAACAGCAGACTTCTCTCAAAATGTGGTGATGAGGTTTGTCACAAAAAGATAAAATACATAATCCAGCATACAGTTCCAGATCACTGTGACCTCATCATATCCTGCCCAACAACAGAAATCATGACCAGACTCAGCGACTGGAAAGTTCATCTTGTTACCCAACAAACAAATGAACACACTATTTCTGGCAACATCAAGAGTCAGATTGTGTTTGGCACAAATCCATCAGTTGGAAAATGTTTCCAGAGCAGCTACTCAGATTTATTTTAAGTCCTCAGGCTGGTTGCAGATTTCCATGTGAATGTGAGTGTTTAAGGAGGAATTCCGACCATGTGTACTGCAGGTTTATCATGACAGATAAACCAGCTGCATTCCTCAGCATGTAGATAAACTCTTTTAAATCCACTGTGACCTAAAGACAGACAGGTGTTTCCGCTTATTGTGCCCGATCGGCTGTCCACTCAGGGCTTTGTGGTCGGACAGCGATTGATTGACGGTCACCTCGTTATCCTGTTAGTTCGCTGCACCTGTTAGCTCCTTCTGATTTGCGCATGACAGGAAACACCTGTGAGGGTGTGCAGGGATTTCACTTTGATCAATATAAGTGTGTTTGAAACATAATGCTGATGGAAAATTCACAATATCACAATGCTGCAGACAGTCTGTTCATGTAACGGCAATAAAAGACTGTTACAGGAGTTCACACTGAAATTAAAGTTAAGTCATCTTCTACTTAAGCCGTGTCAGCTGAAACTCCATCAAAGGTTGAAGGAACACCAAAAGTTAATCTGAGAATTGCTATCTCAGCCTGATCCCAGACTACACATGAAAACAGATATAAGATCTGATAAAACGCTGCAGCTGCTCCTGCTGCTTCATCTAAGAGCTTTTCAAAGTATCCAAAGATCCAATACTTATTTCATTACCTCCTAATATTTTCCACAGTCACAAAGTTCTGGCAGACTGACTGATGGGATGTTGTGGACCAAAGCCTGTGAGGAACACCTTAAATATATTATGTTAAAGCAATCTATAATTCACATTATCTGACAAAAGAAAAAGAGACTTTTGTAGCTAGTGCTGCTCGCTACTTTTATTGGAACATAGTTGGCAACACTGGGCTAGGTTTTCAGTTGAATACGTTTTAATATCTAGCGTACTCTTGCTGGTTTCTCCCATAGACTCGTGGCGTCACCCATTGGTTTGTTTTTGGTCGTTGCCATCTTGGTTTTTTGCAACCAGAAAAGAAACAAGAGGGTGGAGCTAAGTACAACCAAATGCTGAATAAGACATTTTTAGGCGACCAAAATGTTACATTAACTTCCATGAAGTGAAAACACACCGTGAAAGGATTAAAGTTGTAAGAAAAAAAACACGGAAAAATGTCAGACCGGACAACGCAGTAGTAGCTACCTGTCAATCACAGTAAGCCCCGCCCTAAAGCATCCCCTGCTTTATGGTCTGTTTGATAATACAACTAATGTCTGTCTGTCAGGTCTTCCCAACTTCAATGGAGTGTTGACTGACATGAGGATTAGTAGATAATGTATAAAGTTCAGGATTTTTGGGGTGAGTTTTTCCTTTAAACTCATGCTTTAATCATCTGTATGAATATATTTAAGGGTGATTAAATGAAGCTGGAGGCTGGACTTACACCAATGGGGTCGGGTGGTGACGGGGGGAGGCCTGGTGGTGGTGGTGGTGGTGGTGGTAGTGGTGGTAGTGGTGGGTTGATCCCAGGGAAGGTAGTTGGCAGTGTGGTGAGCTTGACGCAGTGGACTCCTCCCATGGTGGAGGGCGTATTGGCCTGGTGGCAGCCAGTACTCATACTCGATGCCTGGGTTCCTGTCTGTTGCCAGCACCTGCACACAAGGACAGCATGGAAACATCAAGACTGGCCTGGAAAGGTTTTGAATCTTTTTCTTTGGTATTCATCTGCCTTCATAATTTATTTCAAAGTGCAGCATTCAGGGTATTTGTAACTATTTTAAATGATAGTGAAGCATTTGTGGTGTTGCTTTTGCATTGCTGAGCGTCCCGCGTTTTTCCGCTTAATGCGCCTCACATTTAAAAAAAAAATTCAACTCATAGTTGAAAAGCGCTCTACGTCAACACGTTTTTTTTCTGACTGTGGTGACATTTGCAGACCCAGATCCGGCTTCACCTGCAGCCTTGGACCTCCAGGAGCAGAGCTTCTCCTCTCTGGGAGCCAACACCGACACCACGCTGCTGGAGACCCAGGACGTATACATGGACCCGCTGGAGGGAAGGGAGGCACGGGAGAACCAGAACCAGGACTGAGAGAAGACTGTCAGACCCTGCTGCAGTAGAATGAGAGGTTTTCTAAAGGGACTCTGGTGCTCAGAAACATTACCTCTTTAGTCCACAGGGGCCGCAAAAAATCAACGCAAAATAAAAGTTCCTTGTAGTGAATTTGCTGTTATCCGATTTGACAAAATCTAAAGAATTTTCTTCGTGCTCACTGAAACTTTTTGGGAGGACTGGTCCAGGTGTAATCCTAAAGATAAATGGGGGGATTATTGAAAAGGCATGGCGACTGAATGCATGACAATTTTTCCTTATGCCTTACAAAGCCTGAGATAAAGGCCGTCTTAACCCGAGGGTTAACCCTTAAACCTTACATTTAGGTTTACAAGAGTACTAGGACACATTATAGGCAATAGTGAAATGCTAAATGCTAAGCAGAATAAGTAAGAGAGTAGAATGTGTTTAGACACGTAAAGAGATTTGCAGCTCCTGAGACCAGATGATGACCAAACTGTCCTGCACCAGTATCTTGGAGCTCTTACCATTAAATGGAGGTCTTCCTTGGTCGGTCCTGGAACCTCGAAGCTCTCCCAGGTGTCTGCCGAGCGCCGGTACAGCAGCTTCGTCCCGGCAACATTGTACTCGCCTGGAATGTTGATCTTCCAATTACCGTTGATCACAAACTGTGAGCGACCGTTCTGGAGGGCTGGACGAGGGACGAAGGTAATGAGAAGGAAGGAAGGAAGTTTGGTGTTATTCAGGAGTCAAATATTTCTAATTGAGTCTACGCTAAGCCCCGCTCCCACTGCTACTCCATGAAGCTACCATGGAGCCCACACTGTCACTAACTGCACTCCCTAAATGAATATTATCATAGACTGTATTTAAGAATGGACGTAGTCGTCGTGACGTCCCCCATTGGTTTGTGGATGGCTGTTTTGAAGCCTCGGGTTCGGGGATTTCGCTGTCGCCATCTTGGCTTTATGCAACCAGTGAACGGAAGTATCCATATTTGGAATGCGGAGGAGTAGCCTAATCTGCTTTATGGTCTGTTTGACTCTAAATGGACCATAACGTACTAAATGAACATCATGCTGTATTGAAGAAGACTTGAAACTAGAGATTGAGACCATAAACTCATGTTTACAATGTTTACTGAGGTAATAAATCAAGAGAGAAGTAGAGTCATCTTCTCATAGACTTCTATACAACCAGAGGAGTCACCCCCTGGTGGACACTAGAGAGAATGCAGCTTTAAGACATGAAGCTTTGGCTTCACTTGTCAGAAATGGAGGTTGTCGCCTGGTAGAAACGGAATGTTTTAGAAACGTATATTTTAACGTTTGACGATTTCCAAATCCACTAAACCCGCCTGAACATGAAGAACATGAAGAACATCTGAAACCATCGAGTCTGTGGAGCAGAGACGGATAGTTGTCGGACGCTGGTTGGAGCTTGATGATGCTACGCTCTGATTGTCCATTCTGCCTTTGAGGGGCGGGACTTAGCAAAGGGTCAATTATCTCTCCATATAAGAGGGCCGTGTTGAGGTAAAGGCAGGCTGTCAGAAACAGAAATATGCCAGCTGGCTATATATGGCAGCTGTCTCTCCTCAGTGGTGGAAGAGGGATTTTCCATGACATGAAATGGAAACAAGTACCTTCACCTGCCTCGCCCCAGTGGTCAGATAAAGCCTTTATGAGTTTTTTCAAGACCACAGTGTGAGCCATTTTGGAGGGGGCTGTTTTATTTTGGTCCCATAAACAAGGATGAGAATAGATGTCCTTGGTTATTATGCTGCCTGGAAAACTCCCACAGCAGGACCAGAGACCAGATGGGACTGCTGAGCCTCTCCTGTCTCCGGGGAGAGGAAGTTATTGCAAGTAGGAGCTACTTTAACTGCCTGATTTACACTGCAGCCATAGAGCCAGTGACGCAAAGTGAGTCTTCTTGCAGAAAGCTGAAACTGATAAGCAGCAGGCCAGGAGTCCCGTGTGGGACTCAGGCTGTATCTTACCTAGATAGTTCCTGCTGTTATCGGTGACTCGGATGTGGGTGGCTCCAGCTGGTATCATGGCCACTTCGTTGTATCCAAAAGGTCCGCCTGGCAAAAAGACACACTCAGTTAGAGGGTTGGTTTTAATATTAGTTTCCCTTTCTTTCTTTTTTTTAACTACTTCAAATGATTAAAGGAAACGTCCGTTTTTGAAAGTGAGGCCAAGAAAGAGAAAAAGCCTCAGATGGCTTTTAAAGTCGAGCTACTTGAAGTTGTTTTAATCTAAACAAAGGAGAACATTACAAGTTAGTATCAAACAATCACTTAAGACCGTCTGTTGCATTGTCGAGATAGTTCCGGATTCACCCACGTTTACACTGGGATGTGATCTAAAGCAACTGAGGCCGTAGTTACACTTGTCTTATCAATGGGACTTTTGAGATCGGATGCACCAGATTGGAACTCAGCTGTGTTCGTATATGTGTGCAACCTGCCTGATTGGATCGAAGGAGCGGCTGTAAAACTGCTGATAAACACATTTCATTTCCTGTACATTCTTCACGATAAAAGGTCGTTTTGCTCACTCTTCCTACTTGCAGTAGACTTATTTTATTGAAAAAAATAGCAGCTAATAAAGATCTGCTAATTTGGTGAATAACACTAAAAGTCACCCATTATTTTGTTATTTAAAAGTTTTTATCTTGAAGCAGCAGAATCAGGAAATGTTCAACGTTCACAATGAAAGTACCTTTTAAAAGCTTTGCTTTAGTTTGAAAGCATTGGACTCCATTGCACAGCTATTTCCAGTTGAGTGCTCACGTTTGATACGATCGTAATGACTGTGATCATTGTGACAGCGACAGTTATTATGACTACAGGTGATGAAACTTCAAAAACAAGTGAAAGTGAAATCTCAAAACACACCTGCAATTACATATGATCACCATTGGTGCCGCCAAAGAGAACAAAAAAGAAATCAAGATTGTAACTTTAACTAAATCCACAATAACAAGACCAAGCTAAAGGCAAAGTACTGTTATATTCCTTCAAAAATCAAATCCACTGGTGTCCACATGGAACGCTTTATTTTGCACAACATAAACTAATCATGGCGTCACGTGAGGAGGTTAACACAGTGTTCATGTCAACGTCACGGCAGGACAAGCAGCTGTTGCGACCAGCTCTATCAGCTTCTCTAAAAAAATGTAAAGACATCTTTTGTTCAAAATTAGTACAAACTTCCACCGAGCAGATACAGAAATTTGAAAGCACAATTCAATGTGATGTTTCCTGTAAAACAAGGCTCACTGTCACCTCTGAAGAAACGTCTTACTGAAAGAGCACTTTTGAATGAATATTTAAGTTTTTTTTATGGTCTCTTCAACTGAGTGAACATGACCTTTGAAATAGTGTCGCCTCGATGCAGTAGACGCAAACAGACGAGTCTGCTCATTGAGCCCGACCTGCAGCACGTGGTGGGTATTAATTAGTTATTAATTATTTTTAAAAATCCTCGGTATTAATGAATAACTCCAACAACAGCTGCGCGTCTCTACACATTTAACTGTTCCATTATTAATGCTCTGTGGTTTGAGAAGTGCAGCCACTTGAAACTAACTAGATGGCTGCAGGCCTTCACTTTGTACCATGCGCTGTGTGTTCTGGCTTCTTCTCTGAACAGCACACTAAATCATCATCATCTGACATTTTTTCATCAATCAGTAACTGATATGTAATCAGTAACTGATCAGACAATCTTGCCAAACAGACACATTGATCGTCTGTCATTATAAAAACTAAAATCAGTAATGATTAACTATCATTAAACTTTACAGGATCGGTTTTACGTGCACAAAGACAGACAATCTATGAACGAGCTGAAACACAATCATCCATCACAGAGTGATATTTCTCCTCTGGGACCGCTCTGTGGTCCCCCCCCCTTCATTCATTACAGCGGGTAACTTTGGTTGGCCCTGGTTACCTCAGAGAGGAACTATTCACAAGGTTCATCTGCGGGCCTTTAGCGACATGAAGACGTAGCGCTGCCATTGAGGAAGCGTCAGAGTTAAGAGCTCGAGGCTGTCAGTGTTTGACCTTGTGAGGAGAGATTTTTGTGCATCGGTCCTCCGTCCGTTGGGAAACGCAGCTGCAGGAGAAAAGAAAACAAACCACCCAAGGTCTGTGGAGTCGCCCAAACAAAGCGGCCTTTATCAGCCTGTTTTCCCTTTTGCTCAAGTCTGAGTCATTATGGCCGGCACTCTGCCTACACACAGCTGTGTGAGGAAGCCTCTGTTACGGAGCCGGGGCTCTTGAGCCAAGTCGCCCGCCTGAGGTGTCGGGAACTTTCCGTTCTGTGTGTGAACCGTGTGTGTGTTAAAGCCATAGACTCGTGACGTCACCCATTGGTTTGTGGCCTGCCGGTTTGAAGTGACAGAAGCCTTGAGTTCGGCGATTTCGTCATCGCCACGTTGTTTTTTGCAACCAATGAAAAGAAGTGACCATATTTGAAATACAGAGGAATGACGGAGAGACGCCGTATACGGGTCTGGTAGCGGCAGCGGCCTGTCAATCACAGTTAGCCCTGCCCTTCAAAAGGTTTTGAAGCAAGGGACCAATGTTTTTAAATGTCTGAATATATTGTTGACTATGTTGATGTTTCTGCACAGGATCTCTCCTCGCCTCCTAATGCAGATTACAGAGCACACAACAGGAAAATCAAGACGATCATGGGTTCGATTCCCCCCTTCAGACCATGGTCAGCAAGGCCCAGATTTATCCTTTGTTGTGAGGTAAGTTAGTGTTTTTTACATCCCACAATCTGGTCGGGAGTCCATCATGGCCGTACCAATTTCAGATCGCAAATATTAAACATGTTCAATATTTACATACATATCCTGTTGTGAGGGGGAACAGCCAGGGACGATTTCAACACATTTTGTCATCAGAAAAATGATCTAATCATGTGGTGGTTGAATACAATTTCAACAATTTATAAGAAAATATATAAAAATCACTTTGTAAACTCTGATTTTAAAGGTGCTGTAAAAATAAAGTTATTATTATATTCCGTCTTCTTTAAATAATGTTCTTTTTGAACAGAAAACCTTCCTCCCAACATGTGCGATGTGAGCAGTCTGTACCAGTGCAGGGAGGAAATGTTTTGCAGGGATCGAGCCAAGAGTGTGAACACTGTGTTCTTCCTGAAATCTCAACGGCTGTAAGTTTGGAGGACGTGTTGTTAAGCTGAAGTTCTTCCTGGACGGCGGCCAACGGGTTTTGTTTGGCAAAAAAACGGTTACCATGGTTAACTCTCATTCCGGCAGAGAACAATGACCTCTTGGCCGAACTCGAATGACTAACATCATTATGGAAATATCCCCCAGACCGCACTGGATCTGAAGCTGCTGATTCCTGGTGGAGATAATATGATCCTACCTGCCTCCAGACCGTTGCTCTGGTACACGCTCTTGTGGTGCAGGCAGGTGGTGTTTAGTCCTCCGCACACCATGCAAGCGTCCTCCTGCTGCTTTGAGCCAAAGATGGAGTCACAGCCGGGCTTCTGCATGACACACACACACACACACACACACACACACACACACACACACACACAAATGTTCAGGGACACAGTTTGATCTGGTTGGTTTGCTGTGCTGAAACTTGTTTCTCTGACAGTGTGTTGACTTTGCGCACATTTCCCGTCGAGGGCCGCAGCAACTTCCAACCTTTCTATTTGTTTTCGGCTCTGCCGTACAGTCACCTCGAAACCTTCTGCCATGATTCAACTCACTCCACCTTCTCTTATTTGCTTCTCCCTGTCATTTTCTCCTCCTTGCAAACATTTACTTTGGGATTCGGCGGCAAGCTATAGGGCCTAAAGAGAGGAGGAGGGGAAGTCTTCTCTGTAAACGTTAAAATGCCAAAGCAAAGAGCATGGAGGAAGAGCCGGATGGTTTATGGTGTGTGGAGAGCGTTCCAGCTAGATGGATTACAGTGGCCGCTTTTCTTCTCCGACCTCCATCCCTCGCGCTCTGCAGAGCAATCAACGGAGAGGTTCCCAAGGCTCGAGAGCAACAATCCAGACCTAGGGGAACCTGTAATCAGCCCCCTAAGCTCTTAAAAACACACAAATACTTCGAGGGTACTGTGTGTGCACAACAGGAAATGAATCCTCGGTGAGTGCATGAGGGCCCCACTGACGGGCCGCGGCCCTGCAAAGCACCAGAAAACACTCAAGCTTGCAAGTTAATGTAACTTTGAGGGTGTAGAAATAAACGTGATGATTCTTATTCTTTCAAATCGCAACATTCAGGGTTAATTCATCCGCTTTAGTTGGTTGTTGAGCAGCTGCTTTACCGTCACTTTTGGTATGTGATTGGACTAGCACTGAGGTCGTTAGTCAAGTAATTAAAGCATCCCCTTCTTAATGGTCTGTTTGACTCTAAATGGACCATAATGTACTAAATGAACATCATGCTGTATTGAAGAAGGCTTGAAACTAGAGATTGAGACCATAAACTCATGTTACAATGTTTACTGAGGTAATAAATCAAGTGAGAAGAACCGGAGGTTGCCGTCTGGTTTAGTGCCAATTAGAAAATGTTAGCATGCTAACAGGCTAAACTACGATGGTGAACCTGGTAAATATCAGCCTGTTAGCATTGTCACTGCGAGCATGTCAGCATGCTGACGTTAGCAATAAGCTCAAAGTGCCTCGGTCACAATCTTGTTTTTTTGTTGTTTAGTCTGTTTCCTGTTTTATTTTGAAGTTTCCCGTTACTTGTGTCTTGTGTTTGTTTGACTTCCTGTCTTTGTGGTTTCCCATCCTTTTTTTCTGTGTATCACCACGTGTTTTATTTTGTATCCGTTGTTTCTTCCACCAATCAGCTTGCAGCTTGCCCACCTGTATCTGGTTGTCTGATTAGTATTTATTAGTCCTGTCTTTTTTCACTGTTGGTTATCGGTTTGTCGTCATTCATGTTAGGAGTTCTGTAGGTTTGCCTGATGTTTCCTTCCTTTTCTGTTGGACTCAAGCTTGTAAGAGTGTTCTAATTAAATCATTGCATCATTTCTGCTGCGTCCTCAGTAGAGCCGTTTTTTGGCTGCAGACTCTTGTTTCCATTTTACATCATTGTAAACTTAGCAAAACAAGCAAAACCATTTTGGACTGTTGGACAAACTATTTAAAGACATCATTACATTATTATCGATCAAACAAACTCCCAGATCAAAAATTGGCAACTACAAATATACAACACTGCACACACATTCCACATGCATGCACATGCACAAAGACACACACACACACACACACACACACACACACACACACACACGTGCCCAAACCAGCCATGTGTCTTGCCGACCGATCTCAACATGTGACCTGCAGCCCTCCACACCAGCTGCAGGACACATCTGCTTCCTGTTTCAGGCTCTGTGCTGTACTGACCTCCAACGGCCCATAAACCACTTGTTGACACCACACACGCACACATACATACAACTATAGAAATATATGTAAAAATAGACATGCATTAATCCTCTGTCAGTGGCGTGAAAAGTAGCTTTGCTCATGAGTTTAGCCTCGTGTAGCAGATGTGTCCACGGAGCATTACACATGTGTCTCATTACTCTGCATGTGCTGCGGGACCCGGGGGACACAAGTTAACTACCAGCCGTCCCCATCTGTGTGAGGGGTGAGACGGGTGAGCAGGGGGTCAGGTTGGATGTGGGAGCAGGACTCTGGACTGTAAAGCTGAGCAGAGCTGTAATGCTAACTGAAGGCTGCAGTCCACACTGATGAGTGCACTCTGCTCCCAACGCACAGCGTGGCGTTCAGGTCTCTAGAGAGCTCCAGTCAGAGTGGTCAACATCACTTACACCTCAACAAGGGCGGGAATGAAGAGAGAGAGAGAGAGACTTGAGCTCAACACAGCCTCATGTTGAAATCAGGGAGATAGAAGTCGGAGGAGTTACGTGAAGGGTCCCATTCATTTTCTCATAGGAAGTGTGAAATTACTTCAAAGGCTTTTAATGGACAAGAAACTCTTCTGGTTGAATCAACAGCACAACAGATGAACAACTGTACGAGAATATAATCTTTGTTTGTCGATTAAAAAGTCGAAAGGTAGAAGCCTGTGTACATAAAAACCACAGACTGTATATAACAACGTAGTCATGGTGACATCACACATTGGTTTGTGGACTGATGTTATGAAGTCTTGAGTTCGGTAATCCATCTTGGATTACGGCCAATGCCATGGTGTTATTTTTTCAACCTATTAATAGAAGTTACCATATTTGGTAAGCGGAGGAGTGACATAGTGACCTGTCAATCACCGTGTAGCCCCGCCCTAAAGCATCCCCTG